GAGAGAGAGAGAGAGAGAGAGAGAAAGGGAGATTTGCTTGAGCTTTGCTGATGAGTCGAAGACGGATCGAACCGAGTAAAACAGGCATAGCAAAATGGGTCGTTTCGATTTGAGTAGCTCATTTATCATGAGGCTTCGAACGCCAATCTCCCTCTCGCGAATAAGAAAAAAGTAAGAAACGGGCAGAGGGATGCCTGTGGGGAGCGAAGGATAAAAGGGGATGGGAAAGTTTGGCGGGTTGTTTGTCAAGAATTAAACTTTCCTTCTTAATTCATCCTACGGGTCGTTATGGTTACGGGCACTTCAAACGGACGTGCTCCAGAAATTGTCGGATCAATCCGTGCTGCTTCGTTCGCGATGTAGATTGAAATCTCTTTTCTTAGTTCTCTTACTAATTTTTATGGACGTCTCGAGGGTTTTCATGATAACGAGACGTTCCTCGAGATTGAAGATAACGTCTTTTCGCTTCTCTAAAAAGGAATCAACTTCTGTTTGAAACACACAACGAAGTAGAAAAAGCTTAAAAAAAAAAAAAAAGAAAAAGAAAAGAAAAGAAAGAAAGAAATACGGTCGGTATATAGTAAGAAATATAGAATGTCTTAATTAAAAAGAAAATTTTGAAATCGTCGTATTCTGGAAGTATTAATTGTGTATCGTATTACGCGTATTATCAGAATAATAAGCGCTGCTTTATCCCGAAAGATTCCTTTCACATCTTATTCACGAGATGTAAACTTAATTCCGTCGCGGAAAGCCCCAACAACAAAGGCGGTATCCCTATCACCTGCTCTTTTTCACCGATGGGCCGATGTATCTTTCCTTTGCCCATTGTGTCGCGTTACATATCGTGTGTCGAGCGATCGGATAAACGCAAGGAGATAGAGGTAGGTTAACGTGGGAGCTCTATATTGAAGAGGACTTGGCAAGATTCCAATAATCTCCTTGGATCACCACCATCGGCGTTATCTACCTACGCCTTGCGATTTCGGCCTCAAACTAGGCACGTGAGGTCACTCGATTTACCGTTGTCCAATGTGTACGTATCAGGTGTGTGTGTGTGTGTGTGTGTGTGTGTGTGTGTGTGTGTGTGTGTGTGTGTGTGTGTGTGTGTGTGTGTGTGTGTGTGTGTGTGTGTGTGTGTGTGTGTGTGTGTGTGTGTGTGTGTGTGTGTGTGTGTGTGTGTGTGTGTGTGTGTGTGTGTGTGTGTGTGTGTGTGTGTGTGTGTGTGTGTGTGTGTGTGTGTGTGTGTGTGTGAATGTGTTGTACGTACGTTTGATCGAGTCGAGCACATCGAGGTGAAAAATGTCAGCCAACGTCACCGGAATTAGAATCCGGGAAAATACAAGCCGGAAAAATACGCGATTGGGCCATCGATCTTGCGTCCATGTCTACTTATGATACGAATACTCGCGAACATTTTTCTCTCATTCTCTCTTTCCGTGTGCGAATACGCAAAATAAAAGATACATCCATCGGCAAAAGCAACTCATTACGTTTTCGTAGTTGTATTTGTCTTTAAGTAAAATATAGCAATCTTTGTTTGAGACGAAAGAAAAACGTTATTGTATATTTTGTAATTGTTTTTCTATTTTTACACAATGTAAAAAAAAACGCTCGTAGAAGATCGATTAAAAATTAAACAATAAATTAAATAAAACAACAACTTTTTCTGAAACGTAAGTTTTTATCATTGAAATTAAAGACATGACAATGAATTGAACAATTTATACAATGTAACTAAATTTTCTATGAAAACAATAGCCAGTGATAGTCAAAATAGTACAAAAGAATGTGAAACATTGCATGTTTCGTAGTACATGTAAGATAAAATAACTAACGAATATTTTTCAAGAAATACCCGATGACCTGGTAAAAGTTAGATACTCAAGACGATGGAATTTTAAGCTAGCTCGTTTTCAGCGGAAACTTGATTGGAGTCAAAGTGTCCTCGATGGAAATTACTTTCGTATTACCGTCGAGATTTTGCTTCGTATATGTAGTCAAAGCACTCGCCGGATACGCTCGCGAGCACAGAAGTTACTATTAATTTCAAGTCCAACGCAGTTCGCGATGTTTCAGTGGCAGGAGTTGACTCTCAGTTTAAATCGAGTTATCGCTATAGAATTTCCAAACTGTGATCCGGCTCTCTCCGAAGCCACAGAGACGAGTATCCCTTTTATTATGGACGAGTTTGAAGATCATAATCCATGACGTATTGCCGAATCTTGGAAATGGATCTTGAAAAATTCGGCAATTACTATACGCATACGATTAATAAATCAGTAATTTATCAGTAATTTATATCACGAAACAATAAACATTTCGCTTTTTATCAATTGTCTAAATAACAAAATTAACAAACGGATGAATACATCTTCCATACCAAATTGAGAAAATATTCTCTTTATTATATCTGTTCTTAATAATTAAATAGTTACTGTTGATTTAAATAGTTACTTGTTGATTTTACAATTTGGTAGTTTTGTTGATCCTTACTGTACAATATATATGAAGCCCTTTGGCTTTGTTTCGCTTACCGAAGTAAAATCTTCCCTGAAAGTTTCGGGTTTTGTTTGACAGCTCTTTCGGGCAAATCTGTCAGAATCAACAGCGGCCTCGCAAAATGCGAGCTGCTTCCGCGGGAAAGCGCGCTGCACTCGATGTTGATTCAGGTGTCTGCCTTCAAACTTCGGCAAAGAAGAAAATATCTCCGTCAATATGTGCTCCTACAAATAAAATTTTATAGTTTAGTGCAAACATATTTCTTCGCCATTGCAATGTTGGTCAGTGGTCTATAACTTTTTTCAATCTTTTCGCTTGTTGCGTGAAGGAATTTTTAATTATCGTTCGAGATCGCATTCTCTTGAAATAGAAAATATTTTTCTAGTAAATATCGATAACTTTTTTTTATATTTTACTGCAAGATAATCTTAATTAATTGGAGAGGTGATCGAATAATTGACTTAATTGAATTCATTTTGCATTCGGCACGAGATTAGGATATTTGAGATTAAATTTACTTGCAAATGATCACGGATCATTAAAATTCGGCATGAATTCAGAAACTTTTTTATTCTCACTTAAGAGATATAGTAGAGATTTTGTTTTGATGAAGCAAGAAATCTAATCTAATTAAAGAATAATGTTCTTAATTAAGAATATACATTAGTTACGCAAACACACATACACATACATACAACACATACATTAAATATTACTATATAATTCCATTTCTGTCAAAACATTATCATATGATGCATATATCCATATTATGTTATTAGAAATTACTAAAGTCTAATTAACATTAAATATTATAAGTATTTATTTATAATTTAAAAGATTATAAAAAGATCATAAAATATATATTAAAATAAAACAACATTATGTGCATTCATATTATGTAGTAGAATAATCTTTTAAAGACAATTATCATGCAAGAATATATGTAGCCATGGCTTGATTACGTAATGTATCGTAATGGTATTGCAATGTCGGCATTTCTGATTGTCCACTTTGCTTATATTAACAGGCCAGGGCTCTTTACACATCTCTATAAGCGCATAGCTCACGTACACGGCGAAGAACGACCAATGAAGGCAGGCTGCCGTAGTGATTCGGCAATCCTGGAGAACTGCTTGCATTCAGATGCCAAGTGAGGACAACCCGACAAATTGCACCAGTAAGCTTGGACGTCTGCAAGGATCCTACTGTAAATTTCAACAATTCGACGACGGTGCCAACTTGTCATCGAGGTAACTCCCTTGTGCATTTTCCTTCGAGATTTCAAATTGATTTCATCGTTAATAATATTCTTCAATTCTTGAAACAGACAGAATTAGTAATTGCAGTATATACAATTGCATTACAATAAATATGATAAAGCTCTTGTAAATTGTATTTTTTGTATAGATATTTTTTATGCCTCTCCAGATTTTTAGATTTCTAAATCTAATGTTTGTACTTTAAATTATTTCAAAATAAAATACAATTAAAAGAAAAAGAATAGATAATAATAACTGTTTTCGTTGTTTACATAATAACAAAATTTCATTATAATAACAATAGTATTAACAAATAAATTTTAACTAATTATTTAAGTTGTTATGATAGAAATTAATAAATTGTGCGCTATACGTATAACTGTTATATTGTTATTGTTTTTTAATCAATCTAAATTTGTTTAAAATATAATAATGCTTAATCAATTGATTTTGGATTCTATTAGATATTACGTTTAGAGAGAGATAGAGAGAGTACATGAAAGTTTAAATAAATTAGCAAGAACAGCCGATTAAAAGCACCATTCTTGCATCGTTCTTGCAATTTGCATGATCCGTGTGCACGACTCGTTGAAGCTTATGAATTATGAATGTTCTTTTCTGACCGCTAAAACATTTCCATACGACGTTATCTCATTACACAAAAATATTTTATCTTCCTCCTCAATGTAGCATTTTTGAATCTTTCTATTAAAATAAAGAATATAAATTTAGCGAAATGTTTTATATTTCGAATAAAATTTGTACAATTACTTGTTATCTAAATTTATTATTAGTATTATGAAAATCTGTATAAGCTTAAAATTCATATATTGTAAGCAATGTCGTAACTTATATAACACATAACAAGAGTTTTGATTAAAGCTTAATATATTTTTTTTTTATTAACTTTTATATTTATTGAAAAATATACACTTTCTTTTTTAATATCTATTTTAATTTAAATAATATCAAAAAGATCAAATTAAGATTTGAATAGAACATGGTCGAAGTATCATTTATCTGTGCTCAATAAATGCATTGTATTTGTATCATTACGTTACACGATTTTATTGAAGGCAGATAAAGTAGAGAACTCCGCGAAATATAAGCGTTTCTATTTTAATAAATCACACTTACCAGAAGAAGTACAGTTGACTGTTATCAGCTACAGTACAATTATACCAGCACGATAACACATTACAGGGTTTAATAATAAATTTTTACCTAATTTATGAAACCGACAATTATCTGTCGTAATAAATTCACGAAACTGATAATCATTCATCGCAATAAATTTATGAGACTAGTGATCATTCATCATGATAAATTTATGAGGACTCTGTCATGAATACAAAGAAAAATTTAATTTATGGTGTTATGAATTATAAATAATTATATCTAACAAGTGAAATGATGTAAATGCAATTTCTATTTTTATTCAAAATATGAACACAAAATCTAAGCAGCTTAAGAAATTGTGTGAATCGAGATTGTGTAGATAGCTCCGTTAACCATTTGCAGCGAAACTGAAATGACTCACAAGATTCATGACAGTTTCGGGTTGGGTTATTTCTGTGATCGCACTGGATTATTATTTCAAGGCACACATAGGTATAAGATGTAAGCACACAGCTGAATAGTACGTTAAATGGGAAGCTTAAATACATCTAATTTCTGTTAAATTCTGTTAAAGTCAAGGAAATTAAAGATTCGTTTATATATTTCTATTTTAATCAGATTCTTCCGGATATAAAAAAGTTCGTTTTAAAGAGATATACATAATGAAATAAAAAAGAATAATATACAATAAATAAAATAAATGTTAATTAAAATGTTAATCATAATATTAATAAAATAAATTATATTGTCTTGAACAAAATATAACATTTTCTTAACTTTAACTACAACTTTATTTAAGTCAGCAAATAATTATAAATAAAATATAAAAATATAATCACACATTAAATAACATATGTAAGTTTGTTTTTTTTTATAAATAGCAAAAAATTTTAATTTTTGAACAATTATGTACAAATTATTTTATGGAATATATAATAATGCACGTAATAAATTATCTATACATTTGTGCATCATTTCTCTCGACGAGGTCATTGCAGGCTCATTAATTTGTTACTGTACCGGACATTATCATGATCGATAAATTAGCAGTGTGACTATACTCTTGATAATCGGTAGCACAGTTATTTTGTGGTTGACATGTCCTGTCAGATCAATATATTCTCATATGCCTATGTCTACGTTTATGAACACCTTATCGGAAGCTTCATAAATCTTTGTCATCTTCAAATTCAATGCTAATAAATTAAACATAAGCAAAAACCATAGAGTCACGATTCATCGCATATTCGTCATCAGATTGTTATATGTCTTTCTGAGTGAATTATTGTTATTACATAATTGATTATTTTCTAAATGAATTATTTTTTTTATAAATTAAAATGTTTGTTTTATTTACACTTAATGTACTGATTTATATATTATAAATATATAAGATATAATTATAATATTTCTAATCTTGTATAAAACACACAAAAATTAATACTAATTCTTATTTAATATTTAAATAAAAATAATAAATTAAATATAACTACAGAAATTATTAACAATCGTTTTTTTTTGTCTTTTTATCTATCCATTGAACATACTTAATGTCGTATTGGTTTTCATATTTGTAAAAAAGTAATAATAATTCTGCAATGTTAGATATAAAAAGATTTCAGACATTTCGTCGATGATATCAAGGAACAAATAATCTGTCGCAAAAATTTACGACATGATCGATATATCTAGTGATCAATGTGTAAACGCTTGCGTATTGTCATCTCAAACACACTATTCATAAGTGAAGCTGATGATATCGATTTTACGATGATATAAAAAATGCTATTAACGCAGCTATTGGTATAAATCAAAGCTATTGGCATAATCCATGTTTCATTGGCAAACTTTGACGTATTGTCGATAGTACGCTTTATCTAGAGGTTAATTCATCTTTGAATTTGTAAAATATGAAAATTCTTATTGTCTTATTATCTTAACAATTATGTCATATAGTAATATAACAAAAATTATAAATTTTGTTATCAGCTATACAATGTGTTTACTTCAATTGTTGTACTATTTTATGATTTTTATTTGTTTCTGTAACTATTTAAACAATTATGTATTGAGAATTGGATGTTTTTTTTATCAACATTTCTTTTCTTCATCTAACGCACGCTTTCCCCTCACACACGCACATATATCAAATTTAAAAATATGGACTTTATTATATATATCATAATGACATTGAACATTTATAACACAATGAAATGACGCACTATGCACCAAAAACCGCATATAATCACTGGCAAATGTTCTTAAAAACTATTCTGCACTTGTAATAACATTTATACTTTGCATTGATATGACACGTCAATTTCCTATAATATTTCGTTTCTTCTCTATATTTATATAACATTTTTTAATAATTATCACTGAAATGAATTATATAGAGAAAGAAAGATTTTTTTCTTCAATAAAATTCCAATTATCGTTTTTATAATCTATTATAATAGATTTTGATGTTACTTGTAATCTTGATAATTCCAGAATTCTTTTTTTTCTTGATCTCTCAATCAGTAGGTTCCGATTTACAACACGTAATTATTTTGTAATGGGCCGCGTCCATCGCTTGGTTCAGTTGTTCTTTGAGTTCTCGAGCCTTTACATATACTTCTTCCCTCATCAAATTGTAGCACATGGCTATCAGGCCCATGCCCAACAATAAATACACGAAGTTAATGATGAGCTTTGTCTGGTCGCTCTCTGTCTCGGCTCCCTGGCCCCAGCCTGGTATTAGATCGCCCATACCAATCTTGCAGAGCGATGTAACGCAGAAGTAAGTACTGTCCAGATAGTCCCAGTTTTCCCATTCGGCGAACATGATCGAACCAGCGATGATGTAGCCGAATATCACCCAGAGACAAGCGGTCGAGGGTACGATGATCCGCTGGCCGGGTTTCCGCTGACCGGTGCACTCGTGCAATCGCGTATAGAGCCACTTGAAAGTCTGCGCGAGAACCTTGCCCATGTTCAGAAAATAAAGCACGTACAATGGAATGCCCAGCACCGCATAAATCACGGTGGCGCCTTTACCCCATTGGGTCTTCGGCACCAGACTGCCGTAGCCGATCATCGTGAACACCGAGAGGCAAAACATCAACGCCGCCGGGAACGTCCAGCGATCGTCAGGCGCGAGACCGTTGCAGTTTAGCTTCTGTCGCACGCCATTGGTGATATTCTTTTGGTAACGCTGCAAAATGCTGTTAGACACTATGTGGAAGGCGGTCTCGTTGAATACATTCACCGATTGATTGCTCGCGGTGCTGAGCCACAGCTCGTTGGCGTATTCCTCACGAATGTTATCCTGCTTGCACACCGGCGCCGTCGGATCGATCTGGGTCTCGATCATTCTAAAGCCAAAGGCGCCCACGATGGCATAGCCCACTACCAAACCGCCTACGCCGACCTGAGTGCACATAAAAGCCACCAGCTTTCTGCAGCAATCCTTGACGCGTTCCCGAGGGTCGACCCCGGTTGACGTCGAGGACGAATCTCGGCTCCTTAGGGAGGATCTCATTGAGATGCCACGTGGCATGCTTCGACATGCGAACTACCAAGTCCGATTCGAAGAGACTCACATGGAACACCACCTTGGCACTCAACGACTCTCCTCGTGCCGCTTTTCTATTTCTGGTCGGAACGCCCCGTCGTTTGCCTCTCGGTTCTTCCTTCGGGATTTCGCTGTCTCTCCGTCTCTGTTTCTCTGCTTTTGTTGAATCGTAGGACTCCCTACTACGATGTTTTACTCTTGCGGATTACTTCTATCGGATCAGAATCGCTGAAATGACTTGAAGTCACCCAACTAATTTGCGAAGATAATCCTCAGAAACGGTATTGTTATTAATATGAATTGTATGTATGCTTTGAATTTTCAGTATCGAAGCCGATTTATTATTTATGCGCCACAAGTTAAGTTATCTATGAAACTTATTGATGAGTTTAGTTTTTCTAAGTTTCAAGAAATCATATGATTATTTGATAAATAATTTGTATATTTATCTTTAAAAACTATTGATTCTGTATTTAAGAAAGAATACGTTGCGAGCTAAAGATACGAGTTAAAAATGTTTGTTAATGTTTAAAAGATGATAAAAGATATGAAAATTTTTTAATATAAAGTTAAAATATATGTGATATGATATATATTTAGTGAAAGAAATAGTTTCATTATGAAGCGATTACGCGCAACTAACCAACTCTATCGAGTTTACTATTTTTACCAACACGAACGCTGTCCACTAAATTTACGGTGCGTGTACGTGGAACTTGAAATAGTTACACATGCTAGTGATTGCTGCCAAATAATATGCTGCAACACGAAACCAATAAACAGAATTTCTTTAATTATAGACAAAGACATTTTATAAAAAAATTATAATAAATAAGTTTCATTATTAGTCATATCTTATTGTAAAAATTGGTTATACAAAAATTCTTTATTCTTGTCATTATTTTCATTGTATTAACTTTAAAACATAACGAAAAGAAAGATTATGAAATTATATTAAGCACGATAACGGCTCTTTAATCGCGTGGTGTAGTCATAGTCAGCATTCCGAAACAGCATCACGAGTACATCGGAACTTGAGGGGGAGATACAAAGAATCGTGTGACATAATAACCTGCATCATCGTGAAAGGGGGAGAGTCCCCTTCGTGAAATTATTTTCTCTTTGCAAAATTATAAGTGAAATCATATAATACACATAATTTAATATTGCTTGCATGCGTTTGTTTTGATTTTAATAAATACATTCGCATATGATCTTACGTAATTTTACCAAGAATAATTTTAATACTTATACCAAAACTAATTACTGTTAAAATCTTATGAGCTTGTTATAAAAGTAAATAAAATATTTTGTCAAGAAATATTTCATATTTTGATATCCAATATATAATTAAGATACAACAATAGTTTTAATGAACTTTTATAACTTGAACTAATTTATAAAATTTATATATGAAATAAAAAGAACAGGAGACATAAAAATGCTTTATAATAGTGTTTATTATTTATCACGATTTTCGGTAAAGAAAAAGATACTATTGGATTTGGAACACTGACAAGTTTGCTTTATTATAATTTGTATAATCAGCCTCGTACTTTGGATAGCGGCTGTATATTCTGATATCTTACAAACGCTTTTGAGAATATGCAAAGGAAGAGCAACATGCCTTCCGATTTCGAAGAGGTCTTAATGGCCACATAATGTATATCACATTTGATCCATTAAGAATGATGAGAAACAGAACGTGTCACAAGAGGTCTGATTTTATGTGTCTAAAAATATTCAAACTCATTGGTAATTTGGTCTCTCAAATTTGAAAACTGCCTCAATATTCTAAACAACATTTTAATTAAAATTTCTTACTTATTTCTTTGTAACGGTAGCTTTAAACAAATCTTTTCGTTAAACCCCCAAATAAATCTAAAATTAAAACAGAGTTAACAACAAATTTTATATAATATTATAAAATTATTTTATTAATTTCAAACGGAAAAATAAATTTTTGATTAGCAAACTTCAAGATTAGTTTATCATTACGCAAGAAAACAAACATAAACATTTTATAATTAAGAGATTTTCAATCGGAAACAGTAGTCTTTGAGACAATTACAAATTTGTTTATTTCTCATAAAAGAATAAGGAAATGCTTACAATTACGTTTTATAATGGGGAAAAAATATACGATTTTTTTTCAAATAAGACTGTAATGTCTAATCCTTCCTATTTTTTTTTCTCGCGTACAAAACACTGTATTTGTGAAAAAAATATTTTATCTCAACTCGCTATTTTCAAATCGATTGATTGAGACTGTTGTTTCGCATGAGTTTGATACGGTAATGCGGGGGTTAAATATGTCAGCCTCTCAACGAGAAATTTGCCAGGTAGATCAGTCGGATGACGATCGTCGTCCAAGTTGTATCTCGACAGTAACAGGTGTACAATACGTGAAAATGGATTTGGATCATTTAATGATAATCACACTGATATTGCTTGACACAGGTAAAATATCCCATTTTTTATTAAAATTTTGTTTCTTGTCGTTTTTAATTGTTTGATTCATAGATAATTATAATTATCAATTCAAAGTCAAAATTTAACATTTTTTCTCAAAAACTTTAAAATAACTTTCTTTAAATGTAATTTGAAATGTATAAAAAGAACATTAAAATTATCGTATAGACGCGTTCTGGACTCGAATTGACTTTGAATTGTTAATTATAGTTCTCTTTCTTTTTAATCGTTATCAAAGAATTTAAAGAATTATTAACAAAACTTTAATCTTTGATGATCTATATGTTGTTTTTTATAAATTAAATTTCTGAGAAAAATAATTACGTTTTAGAGCTTCTGCACATATAACATTAATAATTTTTTTTATTTATAATTTTTTTATAACATTTCTTGTAACATTTATTTTAGATATTTAATAGCATTTAAAGATTTTTAAAAGCGTTAAAAATTTGTTGTTTAAATATCGAGTTGATATATCCTGCTTCAAAATATCTTTAGGTATTATCTCTTATATCAACTTTGCTTCACTAAAAACTTCTTTTTATTGCATAAATATGACTTTTAAGAATACTTAAATATGAGTGACGAACGATGACCTATTTTAAGCGAACGTAACATGAACGTAACAATGGTGGCAGCTATGCTTATACTTACCTGCTGACCGAATACTTTGGTCGATCGGTTGATGAACGCATAAACCGCGCGTCTAAATTTAAGATTTGGACTATGTTTTGTTCGCGAATTTAATTTTACTCGGTTGATCGGTCCGGTTAGTGCTCGATGATGCCGTTACTTGATACGACCAACGAAAATGCAATGTCTCACTTATTTGTTAATTATTTTAGAATCTTCTGTTTTAGCTGTGTTTTATCACACTTGAATTTAATGTATATTAATAATTTTAGAAATTAATAATTTCAATGTTCAGAAGAAAAAGAGAAAAAAAGAAATCTCTAAAAACATAGTCGAGAAAGGAGGTCAAATTCTGTGATCTTTATACTTTTGTATTTTTATTATTTTTTTTTAAACAGCATATTATTCGCGACGGTAATTGATATAAAAGTGCATTCATTCGATCAGTCGGCGTAGATTGAATGAATCACTCTGCAACACGTTCGCTCGAATTACAATCGTTTAGTACAGATGAATGAACGCACTTGACGATTTGCACAGAAAAAAAACTTTCACGTTGATGAATCAAGAATGAGAAAAGAGAGGAGAGAGGAGAGAAGTAATCATCATTCCTCTTTACGTTATCATAATTGAACACACTGATAATCAAATGGGTGGTCAGTCCACCGACGGTCCGCGTCGCACACTGTGGTCACTATGACCTGACATGCCCGTGTATACGTTAAATCTCATCATGCGATAGCTCCTAGTGTAATCTCGGGGTTATCCAGTTAGATTTACGTCGCGTTCATCAGTCGTACACTTGTCGTCATTGCGTTCGTGTGTCACCCATCGTTCCAGGTGGTTTCCCCGCGATGCGTCTCTTCTGCCTAATCGCTCTTCTTCTAGGTAAGGGCTCTCCTACTGCGTACCCGACATTTGATTCCCACTCATGATTACTCTTTGCTCACTTCATCTGACGAGCTTTCCAGGAAGATTATCGATATGTCTGAAAAAGTAAATAAAAAGAATATCTTTAGTTTCTTTTTTTAATTTCTTTTTATAATTTATCCATCCTTTCTTGCTTGAGTATGATAAATTAAATTTAGACATTTAATTTCTTTTCTTTTTTTGTTGCAAAGGCTTTTTGAAAATATTTATAAATATTACCGAGTTGGTATCAATTTATGTAAGTTATGTACTTTTTTTTCTCTCAACACGTATTTACGTTTTTTTGATTTATTTATCTGATGACTATGTAAAGTGTGTTTTGTTCATGTCATATCATTTTCTTAATCATTATCTTATTACAATTATTTGAGGTATTTCTCAGATAATTTTGTCTTTCTTTCTTCTGAAAGCTCATTTTTCTTTTTTTAATATGTGGGTTTATTCATTTAAACTCTCATTATTTCTGCTCTGTGTATTTTTTCATGCGCGTAGCTATGCGAGATAATAATTTCATTCCTTCTATCCAATTTAAGATTTTAAATTTTTAAAAATATCATTACTAAATTGTTCTACCAAAATGCTGTAAATATTTAAATAAATTATGTAAAACTATTATATATATGCGATAATAGTAAACAATATGCAGAAAAATATTTTTTAATGAATATATTCTTATATTAGAAAATAATCTTTTTTAATTTTAACATTTAAAATAGTGAAATTGAAGTCTAGTTTCAATTATGTTTTCATAGAAATAAAGAAACTCGAATAGACTAGTTTTACTAGATATAGATTCGAAAAATAATTTGGTAAACCACCAAAATAATTATATAGGATATTGTTAAAATATAAAAGAAATAATACAATCATCATATTTAAATGTTCTATATAATAATTTCGATAGTCCAACAAAATTATTTTTTATCATCTGATCTAAATTTTTAGATCCTATATTAAAATTATTTTTTTTTTTGTGAAATTCCTTTAAGTAATATTGCAATATGTTTGCTGAAAAAAATAATGACCTAGTAATAAATAGTACCGAGTTAATTGATATTGAAAGCACGAAGCTATCACTTTTCGACCAAAGAGAGAAACATAAATGAAAGCTCGATATATTGGTAATATCGGAACTATCTTAAACATTCTTAACTGTGTGAATCTCATATGCCAATCGACCGGTCTTACGCCCTATCTCCGCAGCGGAAGCGTGCATTATGCTCATTAAAATCTGCGAGTCGTTTGAATGATTCGGCCGTTGTTGCGGCCGGTGCGCTGATCTAGAAAGCGCCGGCGTTTATCCGCCGATTGTGATCTAATTGCCGGCCGCATGGACGGCTTTCGCGGAACGATCGCTTTGCTCGGCCGCGTCGTCGCTTTCTTCCCAGCCGCGAGACGAGAATACGATTAGGAACAAGTGCGAACAAATTCGTCGCGATCCGAGCGGTCAATGAGGTCAATTCTGTTTCCTGTCGTGCGCGTTCAATTACTTATTAGGCCCAATGAGACGGACACGCTCGCGATATGGCGAACCGTTTGCGTGGCAGTGTCGTGGAATTAATTATATTTTATTAACAGTTCGTGCGAACTCGTCAAATTGATAGAGCGAGCACGAGGTCAGCGCCAGCTTTAGATCGCGATTATTATAATGCTCACGTTCCTCCGCAATTTATCTCATTTGAACGAATTTGCATGTAATACTGAAACTGTACGACTGAAAAGCCGGATTGAAACATGCCGGAATAATCACATCGAGGCATACTGTTAATTACGGAAATCACTAAAATGTCTACTACTAAATGTATCATTTCATTATCTATTGATCAATCTGTAAAATTGATTGCAATGTTAATTACTATAGTCAATAGTAATACTACCCGAAGATTAATGATCTTTATCTTAACGTGTTAATATGTTTCACAATTGATTATTCTTATTTCTTTAATTTAATTAAAATTTATAATATATAACATTAATTTATTATATTAACAATCATTATATTAACAATATTTAAATAAATAATTTTTGTTTTTTAAAAATTTGGAAAAATTTTAGTCGAGGGAAAATTGCTTTAATACATAAATATTTTTGGGATAATAATTAAATTTAGTAATTTCATATAAAAATCATTCTTTAATGATTAAGTTCATTTATGTGAACAAGGTTAACTCGATTAACTCTTTTAACCGTTCGTTAGGATGGTTTAATAACGCTTAATTGTTACGTATTTTATTTCTGCATGTTTTTATGTTATACTCTTAAAAATTTATTCTTAAAGATATTAGCTATTTATTGAGAAGTGGATATTTTTTTAATGCAAAGAATCGATTAGCAAAGAATAAATAACGAATATTATGTAATTACAGGTTTACAAGCATCGGATGCATCTGAGTGGGGATATTGGGGCAAATATGGTAATTATTTGATAATTACGATAAAAAATTTTGTACATTATGTGTGTGTGTGTGTGTGTGTGTGTGTGTGTGGGTGCGTGTCGTGTCGTGCGTGCGTGTCGTGTGTGTGTGTGTGTGTGTGTGTGTGTGTGTGTGTGTGTGTGTGTGTGTGTGTGTACTCATGCAAGTGCATTTACACATTGACGTCATACAATCTTTCGATAAATATTACTGAAGGTTAGAATGATATAAAATATTTTCAAAAGTAAACTTAAACGTGAACTTAAAATTTTTTCTAAACAGAATAGAGCATTATCAATATTGGGCCAAAAGTCAAGGAAGAAATAATTCCATATTATCTTCTTCTTTCACCATATAGTCTTATCAGAAATCTTAACAATGCAAATATAATGATTTAATTTAATGATAAATTTTCCAAGAATATACAAGAAGTATAAGTAAGTATTGATAAAATCGTTAAAATATTAAGAAATAATTCTAATGAAATTGCAATTTCAATATCGGTGTTCACAGAATATTATTCACGATAAGCGTAAAATGTGATAAGTACAATTTTCCTCATCTAGTTTATATGAAACTTGCATTCAAGTAATTAACAACCTAATGACAGCAACCTTGAATGTCAGTTAAAGGTATTTGGAGGCCACGATCAATATGTTGGCTTAACAAAACAAAGTTAATCGTATAAGTTATAAATTATTTTATTTAATTGTATGTAATATATTGTGAAACAGAAATTGTACATAAATTGTTTAGAAAGTTATACATATTTATTATACTTAATGTATCCTTTTATTACAGTAAAAAAATTCTCATATATTTTTTTTATATGTTTCATATATCTACGAACTACTGTATGTACATTTGATTTGGATCAATATAAAGATTGCGTTATCATCAAGTTTATTTATGATAACTGTATTTATGTATGCTTTAGTCGAGACATTGACCACATATTCATATGTTACAAGTTAAATAATTTTAATTTAATTTTATATTGCTCAATCTTTTTAATATAATTTCTTGAATAATTTCTTGGCTAATATAATTTCAAATATTTTAATTGACATTTAGTATATTTGTCTCAGTATGTGTCGATATTATATTATAAAAATGCTTAATTTATTTTTTTACAAAATCTGTCCACTTAGCTCTTACTACAATTATAATTATTGTAAATAAAATGAAGGAAGCAAGTAATATTTGCTCGATCAATAGGATCTGAGAGTACAATCTTCTATTAGATTATGTCTTTTGATAGCAGTCACTTTGCATCAACCATGACTCGTGGACAATCATTTTTGCTCTCCGAAATAGCCAAACACTATGATTTATCTCGTTATAATATTAGTCTAAACGAATACGAATTAGAAAATATGTGTATGTGCACGTGTGTGAGTGTATCTACAGAAGAGTGCTATAAACAACACATGAAAAGTATAAGCGTGAAATTATTATCGATGTACAGAAAAAAGAACCGCACGTCGGAAAATTATAGCGGATGACACATCTTTTCCATTTTTTCGATACAAACTATGAGTCGTAGTCCTTCCGCTTTGTGAACAATAATTTTTTGAACAGTAATTCGATACTAACTGATCATAATATAATGTACCAATAATGGTGGCTTTATAATTTTGGAATGTATTATTATGATTAAAATAGCACGTTCGCACGTTCAACACTGCGTCAATTTTATCGCAGAGTGTTTTAGAATAGAAGATGTAACAATGGTGTGTCCATAAATTAAATTTCAAAAACCTAAATTTCAAATATAACATTAAGAGAATAAAAAGAGTTATTAACGCAAATGAATGTAAAAAATATATTTTTTAAAAATTGTGCGCAAGTGTTTGTATAATTTGAGTCTTTAAATTTAATAATTTAATAATTTTTTGAATTTATATATAAAACCGGTGTTACGTATTTCTATACAATAGTATTTTATAATATAAATGTTAAATTTTGTTGTATTTTGTTGTAATGATTGAAATTATTACAACTGTATGTTAATTATTATATAGGACCAAACAATTGGCCGGGGATATGTACGACGGGAAAGAAGCAATCGCCGATAAATATCGCGACGGAAGATGCTGAAAGAATTGATCTTGGCGCTCTCAAATTCAATCGATACGATTTCGCGTTTTCTGGAGACTTAATTAATACTGGACATTCTGGTAGGTAAATCAATTGTAATACATTACTATATAAGCGTTTAAATTGCTATTTAAATTGTTATTTCAATTGCTATTTAAATTGTTATTTCAATTGCTATTTAAATTGTTATTCTATATTTTTCCAAAATTTTTATTGTTAAATCAAATTAAGACTAGTACGAACTATAAGCGCATTTTGTAGTAATCAAATTATTATATATCTTTTTCATATTCCTGTGGTAATATTTCTTATTAGTTTAAAATTTTTTATAGTCCAAATTCGGCTGCATGGAGTGCCAATTCATCTCAGCGGCGGGAGTCTGTCATCGGTGTATGTTTTGGAGCAAATGCATTTTCACTGGCCTGCCGAGCATACCGTGGACGGTTTACGTGACCCATTGGAATTGCATTTAGTGCATTACGACGAGCAATACGCTAATTTCAGCGAAGCCGCGCAAAAAGAAAACGGGATTGCCGTCGTTGCCGTTTTATTTAAGGTGACAATTGTTAAATCGTTATTCGTTATGCTTTTGCTGTTTTCCGTATTGAACATTTTACGGAGGCGTATACGAACACGATGTTAATTAACGTCTCATTATAGTTGGACAATTATGACAATCCTGAACTGATGCCAATCGTGGAAACGGCGGAAATGGTGTCGAATTGGGTAGGACACAGCATGTTGGAGATAAGAACTAAACTAATACCTTTATTGTTTCTACCGAAAGATCATACAACATATTATCATTATGAGGGATCTTTAACTACACCGAATTGCCAGGAGTCTGTAATGTGGTTTGTTATGACGGAGAAGCTCACAGTATCAGAAGCACAGGTGATTTAAGTATAAAATTCAGCAGCAAGCATTCATTTTTCAGGCTTATTTTGTTTTAAGACCTCATAACTTAAATTATCTTCGAATTGCTTATTAGAATAATAATAATACTTAATTTCTTTGCAGCTGAGCGTATTTAGACACATAGAGAGCAGCAATGGCACATTAAAGTTCAATTATAGGCCTATTCAAAAACTCGGCAATAGAAAGGTATACCATCGTCTGGAGGGATATGTCAGCGCATCCTCGAGTATCACCTATAGCTTTTATACGGTTTTCAGTATTCTTCTAGTCAGACTTTTACGCGAGGACTTCTAGTTTGAAATAGCTAAGTGCCAAAGTCGAATTTAATTGATGTTACAATGTGTACAACGCGATGTGACTGCTGTGTGATATAACTTATTGCATTGATTTAAAGAAACGAGACGTGCATTTATTACAATGAATATCACAAGTTTCTGTAAATCAAATCATTTGTAAGGCAATGTATTTTATAAAAATATTGAGAGATTATTATCGACGTTAATATATAAAGAAATAGGGATTTTATAAATAAGCGAAGAATTTTCTTCTATTAAATTGTAATTTTTCATTGTTAAAAGTGTAGCTCTGCATAAGATACCTTTTTATACAAGAAATTTATTACGCTTTAACAAAAATACAACGATACGTTACTATTTAATATTGTTTAATATAATTGTAATGTGCTTATAAATTGCATGTGAATATTGATAATAATTGTCAATTTACGAACTGTCTAGAATCGAGTGCAATGTGAAATGCACATTTTTATAAAAGTTACGTTCCTATTTGTATATATATAGAAATATACATTACGTTAAAAAATTATATAATGTATAATATAGATTAAGTTTATATAATAATAATAGATATATAGTATATATAATAATAACAGATTCTCACAATCAAACATGAAATAAATTTAAATATTTTGAATAATTAAACTTCTTTTTTATTTGTTGAATTTTTATTTATTTTACAAAGTTAATTTAGATAAATTAAGAGTAAAAATATAGTTTTAAAATTTTTAAATTTTTTTTTAATTTTACTAACACTTAAAAATATCAAAAAATAATATTAATAATAAATACGAAAGAACTAAATTTAATAAGAAAAATTATTAGCATCATAAATATTTCTATCTTTATAATTGAATCTATTAATTTATTAAAAGAGAGAAAAATTATTTATCTTATCTTTATATCTTTTTCTAAAGATATAAAAAGATAGAAAAGAAAATTAATATTTATTAAAAGATATAATATTTTTTATTATATATAAATTAATTAACTTAAAATATAATAATATCATACCGCGAATAAGATGACTCCAAATTATTTAATATATTTGTAATCCTCTCTGCCTTTTTCTTTCTGTCGCTTTTCATAGATTAATTTGTATATTCCAGTCGACACGCTCGCGCCAAATAGTACGTTCTGCGACTCCTCTGGCTTCCAGTAGTTCTCTAAAACAGTGGTTTAACAGAGCATAAGATAATTGCTACGATAACATAGGGAATAATTTTACTAGGAATTTAGTAATCATCTATTCCCTTGATAAAAGACAATGTCACATTCAATGAATGTGTAGCACTTACTGTATTTGAAACTCCTCTATAGTTTCTTTTATGATGGATTGCAGAATGTCGCAAAATTATTGTTTTTTTCGAGACATCTAAAACTATTTAAGTTTGACATGTCTGCACAATGATCACAAGGCAAATATAACAGAGAAATAGAATAAAGGGAGAGAAATGTCATTGTTTGTCTGACTGCGTATAATATATTGAGACAGGGAGAAATAAAGGGAATATATGATAAATTCCTAAATATAAAATTAAGTGGAATTTTAAAATACAAAGTATAATGTCGCTTATCTTCATTTATAAAGGGAAAAGCGACAGCGGGATGTAAGACGAGTGATTACCGCAAGCATGAACAATTGAAGCTGCATTAATTCTCACGTTACGTTTATCAAGATATCGACCACATATATATGAAAATATGAAGCAAATAAATTTCGAAAATGTAAATCTTTTGAACAGTCGAGTAAATTTGCTCTCGGGGAATTTATTACCAATAGCAATTGATAATTCGCGATTTTCAATAATATGGCGCATATACAGTGTTATCGTGTGGTTAATAGAATTGATCCACACGATCGCGTTGATCTTTGGAATTATTTTGGTACCAAAAGAGAAGGCTTTGAAAGATGGCACTGTCGGCAGTGTGGTTATTTTAGAGACGTCTTTTATGCTTTTGTGGCTTTATTCGCACAAGAAACTGATGAAGCAAATCATCCAGAAGATGAACGACATCTTTCAAAACACGGATGAAATCATGAAGGGTATCGTGAAGTCGGCTCTAAAACCCATAACAATGCCGTTTGTGATATATGGAGTGACCGGTGCGATATCCGTCATGATATGGACTGTACGGCCAGTTACATTAGTTTTCGAGAAGACCAACTTTTTCTATGTGGATTACAATCTGCCAGCAGCTTTCAGTACCGAGCCGTTCTCTAGTCAGGTTTTGATTTCTTCTACCATCTTAATGACAATCGGCAGCGTTTATCTGTTTCTTAAAAAATTCGGCGTGGATATATATATGATACATTTGGTGTTGATGTTAACAGTGCAATATCGATACACAGCGGCTAAACTCACGATATTATGTCAGGATCAGAATTTTCAGAATAAATCTCCAAACAAATATTCTATGAAAAATCGCTGGATCAAAAAAGAATTAAGAGAATTATGTCGTCACCAGAATACTGTTTTAAAGTAAGTATAATGAGATTATTCTAAAATCAGATATTGAATAATAAACAGAAATGCACTTGAATTATTTATTTAAAGCCATTGGAATTAATTTATTTTTCTTTGTTTTTTTTTAATTAAATAATTCTGCTTTTAAATCTAAAATAATAAAAGATATATAATATTCATTAAATCTTATAATTATACATATTGACTTTTTTAATTTTAATGTTCAACAAAGAATTTTTTTATATAGTTTATGTTTTACAATATTTTATATATTCGATGCTGTATTTCAGTATATCATTTATGTTAAAAAAACTTCTATCTATAAACTTCAGTCTACTCTATATCAACAACGTTTTCCGATTCTGCTTTATAGGTATTTTATTAAGCACAGTGAGTAATAACAATTAACATTATTGTTCAAAAATAAAAATTTATTTTAATAATTTTATAGTTATTGATTAATGTTATTATTATAAAAGAAATAAACAAAACTTATATTATAACTTTATATTTTTGTAATTTTTTTACTGTAATATAAACTAAATTTTTATTTAATTTAAGATTTAAATTAAGAAAATTTTTTTATTAAAAAAATAGAAATATCAATTTTATTTTAAGTATACTTTAATTCAAAATATTTCAACAAATATTTTATGTATAGGTACCATCGTCAACTTTTGCAGAAGGAATTTCGATCATATTGTTTACACTTGGTTCGTTAACGCAATTTTTTTTATTATGTTCTTCTGTACAGACCCTATCAGACGCAGTAAGCTTTATTACTTCCATTACATTACATTAATTTGATTATTTTGCAAGCAATATTTATAAAATTGAAAAAATAATAATTTGTTAAATTTTATGTATATAATATAAATCACTACAAATTTTATAGTTATATATTTAATTATTAGAAAAATTTATTAAAATTTCCAAATAATGATAGAAAAAAATAATTTGTATAATTATATGTATTTCTTTATAATAAAATAGCTATACTTATATGTAAATAACATACATATAAAAATAGTCATAAGTTAAAATATTGTGGAAAAAAATTCAGTAAAAACTTTGTAATTTATAATTATGATCTGTCATGTTTTTTTGTGTTAATTGTAGAGTACCGAAATGACAGATAAAGCGTTTAATGAAGGCTGGTATCAATTTGGATCATCAAATAAACGTACATTTATATCATTGATAATGGCTAACAATCTAGAATGCAAAATTGCGGCAATTGGAAAGTTTAATTTATCTCTGCCCTCATTTATGACGGTACAAAGTTGTTTATTTCTGCCTTTTATCCCAAAATAATTAATTACTTACATCTTGCAATGTGCTTTTTAATGTGTTTTAGATCATGAATCAATCATATTCCATCGCCCTCCTGTTTTTAAGAGCAAAATAAAAAAATATATCGCACACATTTAAATTATAAAAATAATAAATAATGGTTATTGGAGACAAACAAAACTATTATAAACGATTTAATATAAATACATATAAAAATTTAGTTTACATAATAGTTTGAAAATTTTGATTATAATAATATCTATTGTGTTACAATGGAAGTTATGATAATCGAAAATTTATCATTACTTTCTTTCTTATTATTTTCCAAACTAGAAATGAAAAAAATGAATTTAAAGATAACTTGTTAAATTTGTAATATGTATATATATATATATATATACATAGATCTATAATACTTTATTAATAATTTACTTTATTAAAGAATATTTACACACATAATTAAATTATGTAATTGAATTAAAAAAATATAATGTGTTTAATATGTTAATATATTAATCAATGTTTAATTTTTCTGAAAAAATTATTAACAAAAGAAACTTATTTATTGTAATATATAATATTTTAATTACTTTTTTCTTTATTACATTTTTCTAAATAAAATAATTTGAATTTAAACTTATTTTCAATATATGTAACTGTAATTTATTTCAGTAAAAAAAGATATTAATAAAAAGAGTGAAAAATGCATACTTTAAACATAAACCTGCACCTGACTATATAATCGTTAATTTTTACAATATTATTAAGAAACACAATTTTATATCTATACATTCTGCATTTGTCTTCACTATAAACCAAATCGTAGTTTATTGCTGACTGAAATGTTCCTTAGATAGCATTAAGCACGATGACTCCCTTGTGATTCTGCGACGGTCATAGTGCCATAAGATAATTGTCGCCTCATGGCACGGGGATGATTACAAGGAAATTAGTGACTATGTTCACTATGCAATAAATGTACCGAAAAATATACAGTACCGTATTAAATTTACTATCGTTCAGGGCAACAATTATTTGTATAATATATTCGTAATGATCACAAGACAAACGTTGAAATAATCAAATAAAGAGCCTGTTTGCTATATGATTGTATTAATAAAACTGGAAGAAATAAAATATCAAACAGAATAGCGAATTATTGAAAATAATCAAGCGCTGGTCTTTTATTTTGAAATATGAAAAGAAAAATTATCTTTGTAAAGGAAGAAACATTTGTAATGACAGAACATAAAATAACATCAACATAAACGCAAGCGATCTCATAACTGAAACTATCTTCGCCCAAATAATATTTGTTCATTGCAAAGAAATAATATCAAAAATATGGACTTCCAGATCGTAAATCCCTTAAATGTTCGGTTAAATAAGATCTCAGGCAATTTGTTACCTATCACTGGCGATAATTCATCATTTCCTATAGCATGGAAGATATACAGCATTATCGTATGGCTAATTGAGCTATTTCAAACTAGCACAACGATCTGTGGATTTGTATTAGTGGCGAAACGCGAGAATCTGCAGGATGGTGGAACACTTAGCATCGTGGTGAGCATTGAAGTATTCGTTTTGCTCACGCGTATGCACGCATACAGAGGTCTAGCGAATCAATTAATCAAAAAGCTAAATGACATCCTGCACTCTGAGGACGAGACAATGAAGAGCATCGTACGTTCGACCTTGAAACCAATAGAGACTCCACTCGAGGTTTACTCGATAGCTGGAACTGGGTCTGTAATACTATGGTGCTGCATTCCGCTCGTATTGATTTTCAAGAAGAAGTATTTTTTCTATGAAGATTTTGGGCTAACAGCAGCCTATTCGAAACAACCGTTCTCAATAAACATTTTTGTGCTGGGCAATGTAATTCAAATCATTGCTAGTGCGCTTATGTTCCTAAAAAAAGTTGCTATGGATGTATACATGATAAATCTCGTATTATTATTGACAGCACAGTATCGTTACATCGCGGTGAAGCTTGCAACAATATTTCGTAATCATACTTCACAAGATAAACCTAATGAATATCAAAAGGAATATTCTATGAATTCATTAATAGAGAAAGAAATGAAAACATTATGTCGACATCATACCGTTACACTTCAGTAAATAATTATTTAAAGATTTGCTAACTTTATAATTTTTAACTTTATCTATTTCCTAATCTTTTTATATCATTATTATGTCTTAAATTTAATTTCTCTTAGTAATTGTAATAATTAATATGTAACAAATTGCATTTTTTTCAGTATGACAACAGTATTAAAAAAATTTCTATCTTTAAACATGAGTTTAATATATCTGAATAATATTTTTCTTTTTGTTTTACTGATGTTATCTTGATAAATGCAGTAAGTAAAAATTAATATATAACATTAATTATTCTAAAAATGTTTTTTGCGATCAAAGATAAAAATCGTTTAATAATATTAAATTATTATGTGCTTTAATCAGTTATAAGGTATTAATAATATATGTCAAATTTAGATAGTGTCGAGAGCTTTTCTACAAGGATTTTTGCTAATTGCATACATATGTGGTGCTTTAATACAACTTTATATTCTGTGTTTCTGTATTCATCAATTATTAGATGCGGTAAATATAAATGCAACATAATTTTATGTTCCCTTTTCCAGTTATTTTAATCACTTAAAAATTTTTTAATTAACATGACAAACTTTGTATCCTAAAATTTATATAACAACTATATTAAAAACATATTCATTTCTCATATTTAACTAACTAAATGCAAGATGTTAATAATACATTAATAATTACGTACAACGTAAATTTATACAAATTTCTAATATTTCTGATTAACCTTTTTATTTTTATGTATTGTTATTTTGTATAAAACTTAGAGTACCGAAATAACGGATGCAGCATTCCATGAAAAGTGGTATCAATTTGGTCCATCAATAAAACATATGTTTAGAATGATTATAATAGCCAATAATTTAAAAAATAAATTTTCGATTTCTGAAAAGTTTAGTCTATCTCTTCCTTCATTTCTATCGGTAAGATTTAATTAAGAAGAAATAATTAAGATTTAATTAAATAATATTATGTAAATCTTTACAACATTTAAGCAATTAATCAAAAATTATTTGCATCTTAATGTTAAAGCACATATTTAACTGCCTCTTGCTAATTTTTTTTAAACAATATTTTAGATTTTAAATCAGTCCTATTCGATTGCTCTTCTTCTTTTAAGAGTAAAGTGAAAGTTGCGGGTATCTATTCTGTTATTTACACTTTCACCTTTACGTTTATAATTAGTAATAACATTTGATAATATAAATAATCAACACTGTTAAAATATTTTTTATTTCAGAATAGGAAACATCACGAAATAAGAAATAGAGATTAATATTATTAATAAGACATATCAAATGTCAGTTATATATACATTTTATTTAAATAGCACTGCAAAAAATAAAAATGTTGATTATTAATAAGACACATATGTATTCAATATTTATGTCACTTTGTTTCAGCTTTTTGAACTATTCTGTATCTTTCCTTTATTAAATTTTATAT